CTGAAGTCTCTCCTCACAGCTGCACAAACCATGTTTTTACACCCGCCACAGACTTTGTCAACTCAGTCCCTACAGAGCATCTGAATGGACGACCAGGGCTCCCCCAGACATGGAGGTGTAGCTTTAGCAACTGTAGACTTTGTGGGGATGTACGTGAGGGAGTGGGGCCAGGCCACAGTCTGAGCTGCCCCATAGCACCACAGTGGATCCAGCTCCATGAAAGCAATTCTGGGCCCTGATTTCATTGGATCTATGCTGGTGACTTGGTGAAAACAACATCTGAGAGACACCAGGGCCATGTGCCGAGATACCCATGGTTGAGGTGGGGCCAAGTGCAGTGCCGACCAGGTCACATGAGACTCACACGATGCGTGAGCACACCCCGAGGGGAACATCCCCAGGGCAGCAGTCCTCAGGGGCTTCTCTCCCGGGGTTGTGGTCCAATCCCACCTGCCTCCACCACAGATCAGAATCACAGTGAGGAAACAGATCTGGGGGCTTCTACTCCACCAACCAGGGAGCAGACCCACCACAGACAGGGCGGTGACAGCCACAGGGCCACGGGGAAGCTCCCCTCAACATCCAGGGCCGGCTCGGGTCAGAATAACAGGAATCAAAACCCAGATCAAGGGGAGAAGGGCACAAGCCTGTGGACCAACCTCAACCCCCAGGGGGCAGACAAAAGAGCAAGCGGAGCTAGGAATCCTGCAGCCTGCATTACAGACCACAGACCCAGAGAATGTGACAACATGAGAGGACAGAGAAGTGTGGTGCAGAGGAAGGAGCAAGACGAAGAGCCACCGGAGCCGCTGAATGGAGAGGAGACCGGCGGCCTAACGACGGCTTTCTGACCTAAGTCATCTTAAATGGAGGTGCCGCTAGGGGCCTTCTCACTCTTTAACCCACTTCTTATTTTAGTGTGGCCTATTAGATGTTTCGGAGAAGGTAATGGCACCCCACTCCAGTACTCTTGCCTGGAAAATCACATGGACGGAGGAGCCTAGTAGGCTGCAGTCCATGGGGTCGCTAAGAGTAGGACAGGACTGAGAGACCTCACTTTCACTTTTCACTTTCATGCATTGGAGAAGGAAATGGCAACCCACTCCACTGTTCTTGCCTGGGGAATCCCAGGGACGGGGGAGCCTGGTGGGCTTCCGTCTATGGGGTCGTACAGAGTTGGACACGACTGAAGCGACTTAGCAGCAGCAGCAGCATTAGATGTTTCAGTCTAAACATCAGAAATGATACTGATGTAGGTCTAATCAGAAAGTGAGGACATATAGGACAAAGTCCGGGGAAGCTGATAACAAGATTAATTAATAAAGAAGTAGTTCTTGAGAAATTAAATGAGAAATGAGACTTTTAAAATATGGTGGGAACACAGGGGATCAGTTCTCACTGTGATTGAGAAAAGTAATCAGTGGAGATGAATTCAGGAATGACTTAAGAGACAGGATAGGGCACGTGATATCTGCCTATGACAGCAGCAGAAAGAAACCCAGGCTTCTCTAAAATGATTTCCACTGAAGCAGATCTTCCCAAACCACATGACAGAGGGTGAATTCCTTACTGATCCTTGGACCTGTCATTGAGTCATCGGCTCCATCCATTCACACCTACCTGTGTATATGGCTGGCATCTCCAGTCTCCTTACATCCCAGGGATTCTTCATTTGCTCCAGAAAGGTGAGCAGGTCTGGCTTAGAGGCCACAAGACCTGCTATCAGGAAAAGGAGTGTTTGTTTTGCTAGAGATTCATCAGTTTCCACTCTAATATGTATTCCAGTGAGAAGAGAAGGCACGTGTGCTGTCACTCCAGTCAAGTCTGACTCTTTGCCACCCTATGGACTATAACCCATGAGGCTCCTCTGTCCATGGGATTCTCCAGGCAAGAATACTGGAGAGGGTTGCCATGTCCTCCTCCAGGAGATCTTCTCAACCCAGGGGTCAAACCTACTTCTTTTACATCTCCTGCTTTGCCAGGCGGGTTGTTTACCACTGGTGCACCCTGGGAAGCCCAGAGATAATACAGCCTAGAAATAAAGTATTTGGGGACATCATTTCCTGGGCTGTATTGATATTCTCTGGTGGCTCAGCTGGTAAAGAAGCCACCTGCAATGTGGGAGACCTGTGTATTGATGCCCGGGTTGGGAAGATCTTGTGCAGAAGGGAAAGGCTACCCACTCCAGTATTCTGGCCTGGAGAATTCCACGGACTATTCCATGGGGTCATAAAGGGTCGGACAAGATTACAACTGTAATCTTGCTCATTATATTAACACTCTAGAGAAGGCATGGTTGAATGTTAATATAGCCTAGAAAATTATATCCCCAAACACTTTATTGAAAGCATTTTTATAACACTAACAAATACGTAAAGAAAAGATCTTGAGATTCTAGTCAAGTACTACTAAGGCCAAAGTAAGTAAACAGTAGAAATCTGATTTGAAAAGGAGAGCGGCACCCTCTTATACCACAGAACCTAGAGAATTACCACGAACCTAGAAGAAGGAGGCAGATCACATCAAGGAAAAGTCAGAATCATAATGAATCATCATGAAGTCTTCTTTCTCAACTCAGAAATGCCCATTTTCCCATAGAAAGCAGGGATCTAAAACTCTTGTAAGAAGCAGAAGTTTCCAGGAGACATTCTAGAAATACAGGAACCAAAACCCAGTGAGTAGATAAGGGATTCTGGAAAGAAGTTATCCTCACCCAAGGAGGCCAGATTCCTGTAGTTCTCTAACATCACGTCCCTATACAGTTCCCACTGACCGAGGTCCAGGCATTCCCACTCCTCTTGAGTGAAGTCTAAGGCCACATCCTGGAACGTCAGCCGTCCCTGAAATACAAAGTACAGATGCCATGGGGCCGTGGGAAGACTTCCTTATGTGACCCAGGATGAAACCAGCAAGAGAAATGGTTTTGATTTAGGAGACTGGCTGCTATTATACAATAATATAATTTTTACACAGTAATATTTTCTACCACATTTTTAACCCCCAGAAAAGAGGATGAGATATGATTCATCAACCACTACAGAAATTCTTCTGATTTAGAAGAGAAATTACAAAATAATCAGATCAACGTTGGCATATTTATTTCTGAGTGCTGTACTCAGTTGACAGAGGATAAGCTGTCTATCAAAAGAAACAGGAAATATTTTTAAAAAGCACTTCCTGATCCAAGTGTTCTGGAGAGGGCTCAGTATGTCACATTTTTAACAAGCTTATCTGAACTAGTAATGTTGAAAATTCTGCTCCATGAGTGACAATGTTTGAACAGCAACGAAGCAGAATAGTAAGGAAAGAATTCATATTTAACTTTGAACTTTAAGTGCTTTACAGATTTTACAGGTCTGATAGGATAGTAACCTCGGTGACAAGAATCATTTTAATGATCTGGTATATACTATATGTCTTTCTGACAGTTTTTCAGAGTCTTGAATATATAACAGAAATAATTTAAAATCAATAATGTTGCTGTTGCATCTTTTGGCAAATATTTTAACAGACATTCTTTAAATGACAGCTTAACTTTTACTTCAGTTTATGACTCTTGACTTTAATAAAACACAGTACATTCTTTAAATGAGAACTTAACTTTTACTTCAGTTTATGACTCTCGACTTTAATAAAACACAGACAAGTGCACATAGCTAACTCTAATGAAAGTTTATAGAAATTTCAGTATTTGTAAATAATACTAAAAACAAGGAAAGTGTTAGTCACTCAGTTGTGTCCTACTCTTTGCAACCCCAGGACCGTAGCCTGCCAGGCTTCTCTGTCCATGGGATTCTCAAGGCACGAATACTGGAGTGGGTAGCTACTCCCTGCTTCAGGGAATCTTCAAAACAGAAAAAGAAAAAAATCAATCAAATGATGTTAACATGTTCATTCATACAGACATACACTAAAATGGGATACTTATTAATAGTAATAGAGAAAAATTGTCATGTCAATAAAATCAGGATAATTTTTAACGATTGAAAGTGTACATAAATATTTGAAGATGATATTATTTTAATTTTAAAAAAATAGACTAGGATGCAGACATATACAATGATAACAAATTAGAGAGCTCTGGTTCTGAATCTTTTAATGTCCTGCAAAGTCTGTATCATTTGCATGGAGCTACATTTTAAAATTTAACACAGTTGAACATAGATTAGCACTAATATGATTCTTGTAAACAGTTTGGAAAATACAGAAATGTGATGAGACTATATCTGTGATGTGAGTGTGGAGTGTACTGGAAATGATCAGGCCTGGGCTTGAGTGATGAAAACCCCCACTCCTAAACCCCAGCATCTCTACTAAACACACGTGAGTGTTGTCAATTGCCAGTGACTCAACAACACAAACAAGGGCCTTTGCCATCTGCCTCTGCGGAGAATGCACCCTTTAGTGCTACAACTGTTGACTTCAATCCCCTCGAGGGAGTTCAGGGTGGATTGAAGCACTCTGCTCCAGCAAAATCTGGTGGCGCAGGTCTTTAGAGAGTTAGATATTTTCAAGAACTACTTTCATGATCATAATCCTTGCATCTCTTCATATCTAGAAAAGCACTAAACCACTAAATGATGACATCAGCTCCTCAGGACTGGTAGAAAACCTTTTGTTAAGTAAGCGCTTGACTGCACTGAACTCCCCCTTCACCAAAATCACATTCTGACCTCCCCCCACTTTCTCTTTGGAGCAGTCTCTCAGAGCTATCTGAGGTGCTGTATCCTGGGCGGCTGTCCTCATTTTGCCCCAAATAAAACTTAATTCACATCTCTCAAATTGTGCATCTGCTTTAGCTGACAGTGTTCATTTTTCAAAGCAAAGAGCGACTAAGAAGATACGGCGTTTCCTCATTAACTGTGATAGGCATATCCATCACTTTTTCTTTCCAAGACTCTTGTTCAAGACAGAAAAAAAAATGAATTTTATAGCGTGGAAATCTCACAGAAGCACCTGAACCAGTGAACATCAGAGGTCATAGGGTACATGGAAAAATTCATTATCACTGCCAGGTATTTTGGCAATATTAGGAAAACCAAGATCTCAATCTATCAAGAAAAAATGTCAGTTTTCTGCAAATTCCACCTCCTATATACCTCCCATGATCTGTAGCTTAATAGTCCATTTTTAGTACACATTTCTTATCAGTATAGACGATTGTCTGTGCTACTTTAACTTCTGACAAGTTCTGGAATGCTGAGTTCATTCTACTAACAAGGACGTTTTCTTACTCTTGTTCTTCCTCTTCTAAAGAGCTGAATTGCATTGACATGTAAATTCATCATGGCATTTCCCTGACTTCCCTAAGATCCCAACACCGAACCACATCCCAATGGGAAGCTCAGATACCAGTGCCTCCCCGTGTTCATCTCTCACAAAGTGAATGTATTCAACATTGAAAGTCACTATTTCATGCTGAGAATTCATCATGCTCTATAGCCGGGATACAGACAATGAAGAAAAGGCTCTGGGACATCAGGGAGACGTAACCTGAACAGCTGGTTTTCACTATTTAAAAAAAAAGGAAAAAATAAGGTGATAACAAGCATCCTAAGCAGAAAAATTAGCAGCAGAGAACTAAAGGTTTGCAGATTTTCAGCCCAGGTATTTCAGGAAGAACGGCAGACACAGCCCTAGACCCAGGACAGGACACATACCTGAGAAGCTGCCATTTCCTCCTCTTCTTCCTCCTGCTCTGCGTCTTCTCCGGGGATGTTACATCCCAAACTCACATCTGCATCTTGAGAAAATACCTTCAAAGGCATCCATGCAGCTCTTTAACCTGCAACTGCTGCAGGGAAAGAGAAGAAAAAGTTTTCCTGTTTCTCTCACCCTTTTCTGACCTCCTTTTCGACTTTCTGTGTTCCCAATCTGTAGTGGGGAATCAAGACTAACCTGATAATGCTAATCACATCCTGGTGCTCTACACTATTTGCAGATCGTCTGGGCTAGTTCTTCTCCTTCCTTTTCGAGTTACAGAGGACAGTTCACGAGAGACAAAGGACCCTGCTTCTGGGCTACCTGACCCAGCCTATGAGGGTTGTGGGAAAAAAAATGCAAGAGGACGACCCGCATTCAGAGCCCTGAGGGAAAAACCTCACACCTGAGACCTCAGAAGGGGAGGATTTAGGGAGGGAACTTCTAGAAACAAAGGTCAACCTGATTCCCTGGGGAGGGGCTCTTTCTAGGATGGGTGTGGTGGTCCACAGCCCGCCAGTATCCTTCGGGGCTGGGAGGGGAGAGGTGAGTGTTTGGTGGGAATCACCTGGGGGTCTTGGGTTCCTGCCAGGCTTTACTTGCAGAATTCTTCCCAAAGATCTCCCCTGTCCTTAGTTTTTTCCATGCCCTCTGCAGCTTGGGGACACAGGTTTTCACACAATGATTTGCTTTGTGACCACCTCTCTGCAGGCGTGGCACCTCCAACTTCAGAGACCAGGAGCCTGGAGGCATTTCCATCCCCGCTTTCTTGGAAAAGAAACTCTTACAGGAAGGGGGACCCCTTCCAGTCCTGAAACTGGGCTCTAGTCTAACACTTGGAAATGAATTGTCCGAGGAGACACTTGCTGACAAACCAAGAGATTTTATTGGGAAAGGGCACCCGGGTGGAGAGCAGGAGGGTAAGGGAACCCAGGAGAACTGATCTGCCTTGTGGCTTGCAGTCTTGGGTTTTATGGTGATGGGATTAGTTTCCGGGTGGTCTTTGGCCAATCATTCTAATTCAGAGTCTTTCCTGGTGGCCCACGCATCACTCAGCCAAGATGGATGCTAGCAACAGGGATTTTGGGAAGTGGACGCAGGTGGACGGACACGCGGTGTCTCCATGGGCAGGAGGCAAAAGAAAGATGCTCACCAGCGCTAAACAATAAGAAAGGCAGAACAAACCTACAGGGATATATCACCGCAAGCCAGTCAGAATTACAATGAGCAAAAAGCCCACTAAGAATATCATAAACGCTGAAGGGGCTTGGAGATCAGGGAATCTCCTACAGGGCTGGAGGGAAGGTAAGCTGGTGCAGTCACGTGGGATGACCATGTGGAAGTTCCTTAAAAAACATAACCTCCTGACAGTCAAGGAAATGAATTCCATGAAAAGTAGACAAAACAGATTAATCGACAAATTCACAAGTTTTATAGTTTTTAGTAAATCATCTGCAATTCTGAAATGACCAGTTTGATCTAGCATTTCTAAATTCTCTAAGTTAAATGTGTAAGAATACACATACACTCACATATTCCTTCTTGGGTTTCTCACTGCTAACATGTTTACCTTCAGATATTTATATATTACATTCAAAGTATGCCAAAGCTATGAGAAAACAGTTCCTTTAAGCGTTACAAGACACATGTGCAAAGAATTATACAGGGTAAGATTTTACAAATCTTGGTTCAGAATTTTCCCATCATGGCTTTTGATTATACTTTTTGTTACTTTGTTAAACTTACATTTGCTTAAATGAGCCCCTGAAAAGTTTGAGCTAACAGAAGAACGAAGGACAACTGCAGCAGGTGAGTTTATGACTCTGAGTTTAGGTCCTCAGAGAACTCACAGCAAGCCTTGAGGGCCCCTGAGGAAGGTCAAGGCTAGAACCAGGCAGAGAAAATTCCAGTACTTGGGGTTCAGACTTGACCCTGGGTGAAGTGCTGTGGGTCCCACAGGCTGAGTGTGGAGGGGTCCATTCAAAGACAGACGAGCAGGATTCTGGAGAGGTCTGAGTTTATCACTGAAGGGGGGTCTGTGCAGTAGACCCTGGGGGGGGGGAGGTTCAGCAAGACTGCTGGTGTCAAGGAAGGGGTCACCTAGAGCAGGTGCTCACAGGACCGGCTGGTGTGAGTTCAAGGACCTGCAGGCTGCCTGCTCCCCAGACAGACGCTGAGGCAGCAACAGCGTGGAGCAGCTCAGGGGAGCTCTCAACAGTGCTCTGTGTGATCCTTCTTATGAGAACCACCACGATGTCCAAGTAGATAAAACTGGGAGAGGAGATACAGCATAGAAATGGTGGGAAATAAATGAAGTTATGAGAGGTTTACGACAGAAAGGAACTAATTTCTACAGATGCCAACCCCCTGTGCTACAAATAGTTTACCATTACGTTACCTTTCCTGCAACCTTAAATAGGTGGGAGAGGTTCATGCTGGTGGTGCGTTAACCCTTCATTCATTCCACATCAATTGTAACACTGAAAAACCATTCACTTTTATTAATTAAGATACATTAATTTTCCACACATGGAATAAAACCTTTTAGAATGGTTGTTTGATCCTTGATTAAAATACACATTACAAGCTTCTAAAAACTTTCCTGTTTCTCTGATGAAATGATCACAGAATGTGATTTATATGGTTTACAAAATGGAGGCTAATTTAGTAAACATGGATGGACATTAATTGTATTAATATGACTTTTCCAGAAAAAGTTTTCGATACTTACATCATATAGAAGAGGTGTCCTTCCTTCAAGCCTGCCAGATAATATGCATGATTTCTGTTGGTGTTATAAAAATACCTTAGATATTTATGAACTATCCTTGTTTTATGCTTAAAAAGCAAGTGACATAATTATTGAAAACTTAGAGCAAACTTCTATCTTACTTTGAATTATTCCCTGAACACTTACATCATGGTGACCACAGAGGTGTTTGACATCAGTGACAAATACCTCCATTCAGAGGTTTAGTGTGTATAGAACATGACTGTGTTCTTAATCTTATAAATTGGAGAATAAATGTAAATGATTCCCACTTAATATTGAAGGGCTTCTCTTACCATTGGGCAACAACCATCAAAAACATAATTTCATGTATACAGTAGAAACAAATCACAGCATGTAGTAATTTGAGAGTTGAATTACATTCATTTTGGTTCCTTAATAATCTAAAATAATGTTAACATAAGCAAGGATACATTAATAATAATTATACCTCTGCAAATATCCACCCCTTCATCTTGTGATCCATACTAACATATCAATTTTGTATATGTTTTACTTATGGAATACGTGCTACCGTGTTTCTGCTTCGAATAAGTCAACAAAAGTGGTACTAATGAAATGCTTTCTAGTATGAATTCTCTGGTATTGAGTTACTTTTGATGTTTGATTAAGCAGTTTTCTACATTTTTTTATTTCATTCGGGTATCTGTCGGAAGAAAACACTAGTTTTTTCAAAATTGTATCTTTAGGACCAAATTTTTTGTCACTGATTCATTTCTAGGGTTTCTCTGCAGTATGAATTCTCTGTGAGTGAGGTGATGGCTGTGATGAAATCCTTTGCCACATTCCTTACATTTCTAACATTTCTCTGCAGCGTGAACTCTGATGCCCAGAAAGACCTGAACTCTGGGAAAAGGCTTTGCCACATGCTGTACATTTATAAGGTCTCTCCCCAGTATGGATTCGCTGATGTCGAGTAAGAAAATAATAACGGGTAAAGGCTTTGCCACATTCTGTACATTTATAATGTCTTTCCCCGGTATGTATTCGCTGGTGTTGAGTTAAATGTGAACTCTGCTTAAAAGCCTTGCCACATGCTGTACATTTATAAGGCCTCTCCCCAGTATGGATTCGCTGATGTTGAGTTAAAGTTGAAATCTCCTTAAAAGCTTTGCCACATGCTGTACATTTATAAGGTCTCTCTCCAGTATGTATTCGCTGATGTCCAGTAAGAAAATAATAACGGGTAAAGGCTTTGCCACATTCTGTACATTTATAAGGTCTTTCCCCGGCATGGATTTGCTTATGTTGAGCTAAAGTTGAACTCTGCTTAAATGCTTTGCCACATGCTGTACATTCATAAGGTCTTTCCCCGGCATGGATTAGCTTATGTTGAGTTAAAGTTGAACTCTGCTTAAATGCTTTGCCACATGCTGTACATTCATAAGGTCTTTCCCCGGCATGGATTTGCTTATGTTGAGCTAAAGTTGAACTCTGCTTAAATGCTTTGCCACATGCTGTACATTCATAAGGTCTTTCCCCGGCATGGATTAGCTTATGTTGAGTTAAAGTTGAACTCTGCTTAAATGCTTTGCCACATGCTGTACATTCATAAGGTCTCTCTCCAGTATGGATTCGCTGATGTCGAGTAAGAACATAATAATGGATAAAGGCTTTGCCACATGCTGTACATTTATAAGGTCTCTCCCCAACATGGATTTGCTGATGTTGAGTTAAAGTTGAAATCTCCTTAAAAGCTTTGCCACATTCTGTACATTTGTATGGTTTCTCCCCAGCATGGATTTGCAGATGTTCAGTTAAATATGAACTCTGATTAAAGGTTTGGCCACATGCTGTACATTTGAAAGGTTTCCTTCCTATATGAATTTTCCTAAGTCTACTTAGATTTGGTGAGTTACTAAAGACTTTTTCACATGTATTACACTTGCAATGTTTCCACTTAGTATGAATTATCTGCTGTTGAATAAGGTTTGAAGACTGGTCAACAACTTTACCATAATCATAACAATTATAACTCTTCTCTCCAATATCCATACTCTTATAAGTATTAATAATAAGATTTGAGCTTTGATGAAATATATTCCTACACTGATGATATTTAGAATTGTTGTCTGAAAATTGATGTCCCTGTTGTTTCACGGTATATGAGTCTTGGTCAACATTATGCCCAGTTTCATTGCATGAAGAGCTTCTCATTCCATCGTGTATACTTTTGTAACTATTGGGGGTTGAGCTCCTGCTTAAGGCATTCCTCATTTTGTTACACTTGTAAAGTTGTTCCACACTAATTATACCTCCATATGTATTGAACAATGATGGTTGAATAAGGTCTCTCCCATTATTATCAACATTACAGATTTTGGAACAAGGAGAAAATGGTTGTTGGTTGAAGGACAAGAAATCCTTGTTAAAGTATCCCTCAAATTGATTGTATTGGGAATTTTTCCCCTCATGTATAAGTTTCTGGTTTTCAGACGTGTTTGAATGAATGTTTAATAAACAGCTATGCTCAGAATATAGGTTTGAATGAGTATTTGCAGTAGAGAATAGATGACTTTCCAGATTTTCCACATTTCCCTTCAGAGAACATGTATGTTTCAAGAGATGATGTGGGCCTTTGCTGACAAATATACACTTATCTGCAGATGTTGATGACTGAAACTGGTCATCTGAAATTGGTTTTTCCCTATTTGATTCACATCCTTGATTTCTTTTGGCAGTAATGTTTAGTTTATGGGAAACTGAACCAACTTGGTTGTGTCCATCATAACATGCTCTCCGCTCTTTATATGGCCTCATAGATTCCCAGTCTTTGGTTAAACGTAAATTTCCAAGGTGAAATCTTTCATATATTCCTAGCTTTGCTGTTAGGAGTAAATCTTCTAAGCCTGGCTTTTGGATCCTCAAACCCTGGGTGTCGTGGGAAGACACAGCTGAAAGATACCAAATAATAAGATATTCTACTGACTATTATTGGGGAATATAGTTTACAATTTACATAAAATTGGCATACACTTGGCTAGATTAAGCCTAAAACCGAGACAGAAGGAGTCACGATGGCAGGGGATTCAGAAGACGTGGAGTTCATCCCTCTCCACAAAAGCATCAAGAATACATCTTGAAGTGGAAAAATTCTCAGAGAGCCCTGTGGAACACGGGCAGAGGAACTTGGACAACTGATAGGAAAAGAAAGATTCCTGCTGAGCCAGGTAGGGCAAGAGAGTGATGGAGGAAAGGGAAGAGGAAAAGAAGCAGGATGGGACCCGCAAAACCCTGGGGGGATCTGGAGAGAGGAGACGTCTCCACATCCAGGGAAGCCCCTCATTGGGGGGAGTTCAGTTGGGACAGAAGGGGAGCCTCGTTCTCTGTGGGAAGAGAACACAGCAACCAGCGTGCAGGACAGAGTGAGACCTGCACGCAGGGTACTGACCCCTGCCCTGCCCACCCAGCCTGAGAGGGTGTCCTCCGCTGCAGACAAGGCCTGGGTGCTGGAACGTGGGTTTTGGAGAGCAGACCCAAGCAGAGGACTGCAGTTGGCAGTGAGGAGACATCCTGAGGGGACGGGAGGGAGGGAGGAGCTCTGCAAATGGGATGCTTGTGGAGGAAGCCTGAACCACCAGAGAAGCAGAGCAGCGTTGATGAGTGATGCCCAAAAGGAAGAACCTCCTTGCAGCCTCTCTGCCCCTCTGCCTGTTCCTGACTCTCCAGGCACTAGGCATGGCTCCCACCTAGGTGGGTGATTGCATGACCCCCACAGCTGCTTCCTCCTCCCCAGCCTCCTCCCCAGCAGGGTAGACTCATGGGCTCCATGGGCACATTCAGGACACCCACCTGTGGGTCGTCCCAATGTATAGGAGGTGCTGAAACCTTAGCTGAGCTCCAAGGCCCTGCCACTAAGCAAGAAAAGCTGAGATCTCTCCTTGCATCTGTACAAACCATGGTGTTATACCTCACAACTGGCTTGGTAAACTCAGCCCCAACAAAACATCTGGAAGGAAATGGGCTCTGGCAGTCAAGACCAGTCTGGCTTTAGCAACTGTAGACGTTGTAGGCATGCACATGTGGCATTTGGGCCAGGTCACAGTCTACATTGCCCCCATAGCACCGCAGCGGGTCCAGCTCCACAATGAATGTACACCTGGGATATGACTACAGTGGATCTCTGCTAGTGACCTGATGAAAACAACATCTGAGAGACACCAGGGTCAAGTGCCAGCATACCCATGGTTCAGGTGGGGCAAGATCAATGCCAACACAGGGTCACATGAGAGCTCGCACAGCACATGAAAGACGACTCGCAGAGCACTCTCCGAGGAGAACATCCCCAGAGGAGCAACACTCAGTGGCTTCCCTCCCAGTGGGTGTGCTCCAGTCCCACTAGATCAGAAGCACCACAGATCAGAGCAGAGCTCATTTCAGATCTGGGGCCTCTGCTCCACCAATCAGGAAGCAGACCCCGCCACAGACAGTGAGAGCTACAGAGGAAAGGCGAAGCTGCCCTCAAGATCCGGGCAGGCTCTGGTCACAGTAGTAACAATCAACCCCCTTTCAAGGGCATAAGGGCACAAGTCTCTGGACCACCTCACCCACCACGGAGCAGACACCACAGCACGAGGAACTAGGATCTGCAGCCTGCAGAACAGAGACCACAATCACAGAACATTGGACGAGATGAGATGGCAAAGGAGTATGGTGCAGAGGAGAAGTCAAAAAGAAACCTGCAGAAACAATGAAGCGAGAAGTGGAGCAGTGTACTGAGTAATTTTTGCTTTAAGTAATCAAATTTACAAACAAAACGTTTTCACAAATGCTAATGCCTACTAATTATTAACCCACTTACAACTCACGTTGTTATCTGAGCATGTTCTAATAGAGTCTAAAATAGTAATGATATTGACCTAGAACTAATCAGAAATAGATGGCATAAATGATAAAGTCCTGAGATGTTTCATAACAAACAAGATAGATTTAATATGGTAAGAGTTCTTAACAAATCAAATGAGAAGTGAGACTTGAAAAATATGGTGAGAAAACAGGGAACTCTACTCAATGCTCTGTGTTGACCTAGATGGGAAGGAAATCCAATCAAGAAGGGAAATGTGTATATGTATCACTTATTCTTTCTGTATAGCAAAACTAACATAGCATTGTAAGATACCATTATTGGAACAGAAAAATTTCTTCTTAAAGATTTCTCTATATAATCTATAAGCTTAATAGTGAAGAAGAATCAGAAAAGAGCACTGTGGGAAATGTTCTAAACTCCCACATTAACAATTTCTTTAAAAACTCGGTGAGTTAAATAAATATATTAAAGCATTTTAGCATTAATGAATTGGGACAAACATACTTAACACATTTAATGTTAGTTCATATAAAAAAAGAGAAGGTGTAACATAAAATTCAGATTTGCATTTTCTCATTTTAGTGAGGTGTCTTATGTGAAGAAGGAATTCATAGGGCCTGGACTCCATCTCAGGCCTGTCTGTGCTGATCGTGCTCGGCCACCTCACCAGTGGACTCTGAACTCTGCTTAGTGCCTGTGGGAACGACAATGGAAGGATAAGACCCCCTCCGGACAGGGGAACCTTGAAGGTCATATCCAGGTTACTCATCACCTAGGAGAGAACAGACACTAATCACCCCTGCCTCCGGACACTATCTATCAGAATGTAAGCACAGGTTATCGGTTATTAACTGGTTGGAAAGTAACCGTGGGCTTAATGATTATTAACTGTTTGAAGACATAACATGTGAATGATGGGGTTATTGTGCTTGTATTTACCCTTCCTTTGTAAGCATCAGGGATTGGGGTGGTGGGTTTGGACACGTACACATGGGGTATGAAAGATTTTCACAAATGATGGTTGGGGTCCTTGGCTAAGAGGAGACTCTCTCTTGGGCACGCCAGTGTAATAAACTGCACTCCACTCTCTGCATTGGCCTACTGAGTGAGTTTGTTTCCCGGAAGGCGTGCCGATAACAATGCAGTGAAGAAAGAATTTGAGTATGATATTTCTAAGGTCACATGTGTAGTTTCCAGTGGACTGGAAATTATATGGTAGAGAACAAAAAACATCTGTCCCCAGTATTCCTAGAAGTTTGGCAGTTTTTTCACAGCTCCACCCACACACTTCTGACTAGAGACAGAATCAGCACTTTTAAAAGGGCTTAATATAGTTACTCAGAAATATGCAGATTTTCCAAAACCTCCCCAAAATAGATGAGTTATCAGGTCATGCAGGTTGTTCCAGGCCAAGACAAATATTTTGGTTCTAACTGTGAATGTGAAAAGTAACCACTGGAGAAAAATACCCCATGATAAAAAGAATCAGGAATGGGTCAGGAGATGATGCTCTATGACAGTGACAGAAATAAACCTAGCCTAATCCAAAATCATCTCCACTGAAGGACATCTTCTCAAAGCACACGACAAAGTATGACTTCCTCCCCAATGCTTGTCCCTCTCACCCTAGTTATCTGCTTCATTCATAGACACATACCTGGGTATATGGCTGTCTCCCTTCTCCTTACATCCCAGGGATCCTTCATTTGCTCCATAAACATGACCAGGTCCGGCTTAGAGACCACAAGACCTGTTCATCAGAAAAGGAATATGTGTTTTCTGAGATATTCATCAATTTCCAATCCAATATGTGTTCAGGTGAGAGAGAAGTCAAAGTAGAAAGTTCAAATAGCATTAAAAAGATGATTTCACCAAATAGTTTATTGGAAGCATCTTTAAAAGACAAATGCATCAAAATCAGATTCTGATATCATGCTCAAGTACTACTAAGGCAAAAGCAGGTAGTGGAGTTCCGGTTTTAAGAGGAGAATGGCACTATTTGCCATTTACCACAGAACTTACAGAATTACCACGAACCTAGAATGAAGAATATGCAGGTCAAGAAGCAACAGTTAGAATCATACATGGAACAGTTAACTGGTTGCAGATTGGGAAAAGAGTACATCAAGGCTGTACATGACCACCCTGCTTATTTAATTTCTATGCAGGGTACATCATGCGAAATGCTGGGCTGGATGAATCACAACCTGGAATCAAGTTTACCAGGTGAGATATCAACAACCTCAGATATACAGATGATATATCTAATGGGAGAAATTGAAGAGGATCTAAAAAGGCTCTTGATGGGGGTGAAAGAGGAGAGTGAAAAGCTAGCTTAAAACTCAACATTCAGGAAACTAAGATCATGGCATCCAGTCTCATCACTTCATGGCAGATAGATAGAGGAAAAGTGGAAACAGTGACAGATTTAATTTGGGGAGTGGGCAGGGGCTCCAAAATTACTGCAGATGGTGACTGCAGCCATGAAATTAAAAGATGCTTGCCAAGAAAAATAAAAATAAAAATAAAAGATGCTTGCTCTTTGGAGGAAAAGCTATGACAAAGACAGCATATTAAAAACCAGAGACATCACTTTGCCCACAAAGGTCCATATAGTGAAAGCTAGGTTTTTTTCAATAGTCATGTATGGATGTGATATTTGCAACATAAAGAAGGCTGAGCACCAAAGAACTGATGCCTTCGAAATGTGGTGCTGGAGAAGACTCTTGAGAGTCCCTTGGTCAGCAAGGAGATCACACCACTCAATCCTAAAGAAATCAACCTTGAATATCCATTGGAAGGACTGATGCTGAAGCTCCGATACTTCGGCCACCTGATGCGAAGAGCCAATTCATTGGAAAAGACCCTGATGCTGGGAAAGATTGAGGGCAGGAGAAGAGAGTGGCAGAAGATGAGATGGTTGAATAGCATTATTGACACAGTGGATATGAATTTGAGCAAACTCTGGGAGTTAAAGAAGGCTAGGGAAGCCTCACTTGCTGCATTCCACGGGATCGCAAAGATTTGGGCATGACTTAGCGACTGAACAACAAGGAGGCAGGTTGCATCAAGAAAGAAGGTTACTTTCCCCTGGAAAGTAGGGATCTTACCCTCAACTGGACAAAGCAGAAAATTCCAGGAGACATTCTAGAATGAATGAACCAAAACTCTGGGGATACATAAGGGATTCTGGAAGCAAGTTATCCTCACCCAAGCAGGCCAGATTTCCGTAGTTCTCTAACATCACGTCCCTGTACAATTCCCGCTGACCGAGGTCCAGGCATTCCCACTCCTCTTGAGTGAAATCTACAGTCACATCCTGGAATGTCAGCAGCCCCTGAAATATAAAGGACATGAGCCATGTGGACCTTGGAAGACTTCCTAATGTGACCCAAGATGAAACCAGCAAGAGAAATGGTTTTGATTTAGGAGAATATCTGGTGTTACACAAGAATATAATTTTTATACAACAGTATTTTCCACTGTACTTCTAACCCCAGGAAAAGAGAATGAGATGTGATCCACAGACCACTATAGAAACTATTCTGATAAGGAAGAGAAATTATAAAACAATCGCATCAACACTGACTTATCTGTTTTTGAGAGTTATACTCGTGTGACACAGGATAAAGTGTCTATCAAGGAAAGCATGTTAGTCACTCAGTCATGTCTGATTCATTCTGACCCCATGGACTGTAGCATGCCAGGCTTCTCTGTCCATGGGATTTTTCAGGCAATACTGGAGTGAGTTGCCATTTCCTTCTCCAGGGGAATCTTCCCCGCTAAGGGATCAGACCCGGGTCTCCCACATGGCAGGCAGATTCTTCACCATCTCAGCCACCAGGGGAGCCCCCTATCAAGGAAACAGGAAATATTTTTTAAAAGCATGCTCTGATCTAAGAGTTCTGGAGTGGGGCCACTGTGCAGCATTTTAAACAAGCTCATTTTAACTAGTAATGTTGAAAATTCTGATACATGAATGACCATCCTGAATAGCAAAGCAGTAGACCACTAAGGTAAGAATTTATACTTAACTTTGAATTTTAAGTGTTTTACAAAATGGACAGGTCTAATAGAATAGTACCCATTGCAGCAATAATCCTTTGAACTATTTAGTATATACTATATGTCTTCTAAAAGTTTTTACAGGGTCTGGACTGCATCACATTAATATAAAATCAACAACATTGTTGTTCCACCGTTTTGCAAATATTTTGACAAACATTCATAAAATGACAGATCTTGAATTTGCTTCAGTTTATGTGAACTAAAATTTAACTGGTAAAACACAAATACACAGAGACAACACGAAAGAAAGCGTATACAAAATTTTCTAGGGTCTTCCCTGGTAGTCTGAGCTCCCAAGTCAGGGGACTGGGTTCAGTCCCTTGTTAGAGAACTAGATCCCACACGCCACAGCTAAAGTGTGCCTGCTGCCACAAAGTCTCCCACATGCCTCCAAGATTCTGCAGGCTACAACCAAGACACAACTCAGTCAAACACAAATACGTGTATTTTTAAAAAGAACTTTATATAACTGGGGAGAATACCAAAACAAGAATAAAAATTTTTTTAACATTTTCATCCATACAGACATATATTAAAATGAGACTATATACTTACTAAGAGTATTAAGGAAAAGCTAACATTCAGAAAATGAAGATGACGGCATCTGGTCCCATCACTTCATGGCATATAGATTGGGAAACAGTGGCTGACTTTATTTTTCAGGGCTCCAAAATCACTGCAGATGGTGACTGCAGCCACGAAATTAAAAGACGCTTACTCCTTGGAAGGAAAGTTATGACCAACCTAGACAGCTTATTAAAAAGCAGAGACATTGCTTTGTCCACAAAGGTCCGTCTAGTCAAGGCTATGGTTTTTCCAGTAGTCATGTATGGATGTGAGAGTTGGACTATAAAGAAATCTGAGCACAGAAGAATTGATGCTTTTGAACTGTGGTGGTGGAGAAGACTCTTGAGAGTCCCTTGGACTACAGGAGATTCAATCAGTCCATCCATCAGTCTGGATGTTCATTGGAAGGACTGATGTTCAAGCTGAAACTCCAATATTTTGGCCATCTGATGCGAAAAACTGACTCATTTGAAAAGACCCCGATGTTGGGAAAGATTGAAGGCAGGAGAAGGGGACGACAGAGGATGAGATGGTTAGATGGCATCACTGACTCAATGGACATGAGATTGGGTAAACTCCAGGAGTTGGTGATGGACAAGGAGACCTGGAGTGCTGCAGTTCATGGGGTCTCAAAGAGTCCGACACACATGAGCGACTGAACAGAACTGATTCGTGTTCAGTTCAGTTCAGTTGAGCTGAGTTCATTCATATTCGTGGCAATTAAATTGATATTCATGTCAATAAAATCAGTTCATGTTCAGTTCAGTTATTCATATTCACGTCAATAAAACCGAGATTATTTTTAATGGGTTAAAATATATACATCTACTTGTGGATGATATTCTTTGTATATTTTAAATACACTAGGGTGCAAACATATTCAATGGTATAAGATAAATCAGAGCTCTTGGTTCTGAAACTTTAATTTCTTGAAAAACTGTATCATTTTGTAGAGCTGTATCTTAGAAATTCAACACAGGTGAAAACAGACTAGCACCAATATGATTGTTGCAAATATTTTGATAAAAAAATATAAAAATGTAAGAAGACTATGTCTGTGATATGAGCGTGGAGTGTACTGGAAACATCACACTTGGGCTTGAGTGATGAAAACTCCCACTCCCAAAACCCAGTATCTATCATCAACACAGTGAGTGTTCATTTTCCAAAGCAAAGAGAATCCAAGAAGATGTGGAGTTTCTCCATTAACTGTGAGAGTTTTCACATGATCCTCATTCCATTTTTCCACAGTCTTGTCTAAAGACAGAGGGAAACGAAATGAACTTTATAGCCTGATAATCTCAGAGAAATCACCAGAGCCAGTGGACAACATCTGTCATGGTGTAAATGGATCACACGGAAGATGTACTATCAGAACCTGGGCATTTCAGAAAAAATAAGGAAATTATAACTTGAACCTAACATTAAAAATATCAGTTTTATGCAACATTCATTTTATATCTACTTCCTCTGTTTTGTATCCTAACAATGTTGTCACGCGATTGTATGTTCCTCGGTTGTTTGTCTCGTCACAACAAAAATTTGGAGTGACGGACATTAAAGGCCCTTGGCGGGTCACGGCTATCGGAGGACAGACCGTGTTATAACTCTTAAATAAATCAGTGTTACAGCTCTATTTATTTAGATAATAGCCGGAAAATCCATCTCGAGTTGTGAGGACATGTCAATCCAAAGACACAAAGAGAAGATCGCCCCATCGCGCGGGAGAGAGAGAGAGAGAGAGAAGAAGGAAGAGGGCTTTGGCCTCTCTTTTTCTGTTTCCCTGCCCCCGGGTCTGTCTTATGTAAATCGGGCCTAGGCAGGCGCGTTGTTTGTTTTACCTGAGGTTCTCACTCCAGTCCTCGGACCTTCCTTTGTTCTATTTTCGCGGGCTTTGCCTTCCAGGTCTTTTAGCCACCGCCATTTTGGACTTTTTTCCCGTATTCTAACTACCTAAGAATGTGTTTAACTACTAAGCCTTAGCATTACAGAGGACAGTATCTCCTAGTTTTCTTCTTATTTCTGAGCATTTTCTGAAAAATTCTGGATCACGGAGCTTATTCAATAAATAAGGGCATTTTCTAACTCCTAAAGAGCTGAAATTGCATCCCCATGTAAACTCATCATGGCATTTCCCCTAGTTCCCTAAGATCCCAAAACCGAACCACATGCCAATGGGAATCTCGGATACCAGTGCCTCTCCGTGTTTCTCTCTCACAAACGGAATATATTCACCAGTTGAAAGTCGTTAATTCATGTTGAGAATTCATCATGCTCCGTAGAAAGCCAGGGTAGAGACAAGGGAGACAAGATTCTGGGACACAGGGAGAAGTGGTCTAAAGAGCCAGGCTTCACTATGATAAGAAGAAAAGGAAAAAATAAAGAAGTTGATAACAAACAACCAGGCAGAAAATTTAGAGGCAGAGAACTAAAGGTTTGCAGATTCTCAGTCCAGGCATTTCAGGAAGAAAAGGAGACACAGCCCCAGACCCAGGACAGGACACATACCTGAGAAGCTGCCATTTCCTCCTCTTCTTCCTCCTGCTCTACGTCTTCTCCGGGGATGTTACATCCCAAACTCACATCTGCATCTTGAGAAAATACCTTCAAAGGCATCCATGCAGCTCTTTAACCTGCAACTGCTGCAGGGAAAGAGAAGAAAAAGTTTTCCTGTTTCTCTCACCCTTTTCTGACCTCATTTTCGACTTTCTGTGTTCCCAATCTGTAGTGGGGAATCAAGACTAACCTGATAATGCTAATCACATCCTGGTGCTCTACACTATTTGCAGATCGTCTGGGCTAGTACTTCTTCCTTTTCGAGTTACAGAGAGCAGTTCACGAGAGACAGTGGACCCTCCTTCTGGGCTACCTGACCCAGCCTTTGAGGGTTGTGAAAAAAATGCAAGAGGAAGACCCGCATTCAGAGCCCTAAGGGGAAACCTCACACCTGAGACCTCAGGAAGGGAGGGTTTAGGGAGGGAACTTCTGGAAACAAAGGTCAACCTGATTCCCTGGGGAGGGGCTCTTTCTAGGATGGGTGTGGTGATCCACGACCTGCCTGTACCATTGGCGGCTGGGAGGGGAGAGGTGAGTGTTCGGTGGGAATCACCTAGGGTCTTGGGTTCCTGCCAGGCTTTACTTGCAGAATTCTTCCCAAACATCTCCCCTGTCCTTAGTTTTTTTCACCCCTCTCTGCAGCGTGGGGACACAGGTTTTCACACAATGATTTGCTTTGTGACCACCTCTCTGCAGGCGTGGCACCTCCAGGTTCAGAGACCAGGAGCCTGGAGGCATTTCCATCCCCGCTTTCTTGGAAAAGAAACCAGGGGCAGCAGGAGGCCTGGCGTGCTGCAGTCCAGGGCGACTGAGCACCTGAACTGAACTCAACTGAGCAGGACCCGCTAGGTTCACAGTGTGTATGGGCAGAGCCAAATGCCTCTGAAAACGATGCCCTAAATGATATCTGATGACCAACCAAGGAAGTAATGATCGGTTTTGTCATAAGTTACATCACAAATGAATTAACAACTGAGAATGAAGAAGGAATTCATAGGGCCTGGGCTTCATCTCAGGCCTGTCCGTGCTGATCGTGCTAGGCTGCCTCTCCAGTGGACTCTGTGCTTAGCGCCTGTGGGAACGACAGTGGAAGGATAAGACCCCCTCTGGACAGGGGAACCTTGGCGAGAAAACAGACACTAATCACCCCTGCGTCAGGACAGTATCTATTGGAATGTAATCACAGGCTTATCGGTTATTAACTGGTTGGAATGTAACCGGGCTTATTGATTATTAACCGTTTAAACACATAACACGTGAAGGATGGGGTTATTGTTATTGTATTTAGCCTTCCTTTGTAAGCCTCAAAGGATTTGGGGTGGTGGGTTTGGACACGTACACATGGGGTATAAAAGATTTTCACAAATGCTGGTTGGGGTCCTTGGCTAAGAGGAGACTCTGCCTTGGGCCCGCCGGTGTAATACACTGCACTCCACGATCTGCATTGTCCTTCTGAGTGAGTTTGTTTCCCAGAAAGCATGGCTATAACAAGAATGTTGTTGCTCTACTTCCTGTGTGTGTTTTTCTAGGTTTTATGAATCAACTGCTACAGTTCATTGTCTGCTCCATTTAGAGAGCTCTATTTTCCCACATCTTTAAAGTATAATGACCAAGGAAACATTGAAGATAGAAGCATATTCATCTTTCACATATTATGTATTCTAAAAAATATTCAGTCTGCATTCACCAGTACCAACTTTGTACAAGATTTAGTTTCATAGCAGAATTGAGAATAAAGTATAGACATTTCCCATATACCTCTTGTTCCCACATGTGGACAATCTCCCTACTTAGCTTTCCCCACCAGAGTGAGCATTTGTTACCACT